CCTGATAAATTTCAAGATGTCACTGTTGGTTGTTATGTTGTACCTCAGGATTTAATTTTCGGCCTGGTTTCTATTTAAACTCTCTCTCCCTCTCCACACCCCTTGTTCTGGCTTTTTCACTATTAAAAACAGTTCAGGGCCGGCTCTTGGGCTACTGGTCTCTTTAAATGCTGTGCGCATGTGTGTGGCAGAAGAACCTACCAGTGGTGGGGGTCGGGGGTGTCCACTTGCTTAGGCACCCCCTCTAGTCACCAGAATGGAGGTGTGCAAATAGTGGGGGGTCAATGAACAGATACAAACAAACAAAAAATCAGAACAAAGAAAACTGATAAAGTGTATTGTCCGCCTTTGCTCTGAGGGCCCTGCAGCCTTATTCCGTGGTAGGTCTGCTCCCCTACTTAGTCTTGCCGTTTGGTCTCACCCAAGATGTCAGCTCTGGGACACTGAGCCCAGCAGATTCTAAAGTACGAGATTTTCTACTTTTGCTACAAGTTCCACTAGCTATAAGCCTTCAGACTTCTAAAATATTCCTACCTACGTGGTTGAGAGTTTTGGAGCTCTGCCCAGGACCTGCTTCGCCTGGTATTCTGTGGTATTGCTGACGGAGAACTTCATTGCACCTCCATCCTATCCACCGGCAAGCCCCACCCTCCTGGATCTATTTTCTTTGCTTATTTGGTTTTATACAAATAACTTGCCCAGTATAAGATCCTGAAAATTTCACCTCAATGTTTTCTTCCAATATTGTTATGGTCTTAACAGTTTTAGCTCTTACATTTAGGTCATTGATTCATTTTGAGCGAATTTTTGCTTACTTTGTGAGGTAGGGGGTCTATATCATTTTGGTGTAATTTACATTTTCATAATGGATAATGAACATTTTTTTCCATGTGCTTATTTGCCATCTGTATGTCCTCTTTGGTGAAATGCCAGGTCATTCATATCCTTTGTTTAATTTTTTTTTAATTTACTGTTACTTGTAAGAGTTCTTTATATATTTTTGAGACTTGTCTTCTGTCAGATTTTTGGTTTACACGTAGTCTTCCAGTCTGCAGCTTGTCTTAACCTCTGAACAGGTTCTTTTGCATAGCAGAAGTTCCTAATTTTGATGAAGTCCAGTTTATCAAGTTTGTCCTTTTATACATTGTGGTTTTTGATGTTAGATCTAAGTATTCTGTCTAGTTCAAGATCCTAAAAGATGGTCTTTGTTCTTTCTTAAAAGATGTAGTTTGTGTTTTTCTTACTTTTTTTGTGTGTTTTGTTGTGAATTATTTGATAGCTCACATGGGTCATCCTATTGTATATCATTTCATTGCCATAGTTACAGCCCCCTCCATGCATCATCAACCAACCAAAGGGTATACCCTGCAAGCCTGCCCCCTGATTGTCAGCACACAGTCCCTCTCCCTCTCTGGGTCTAGAATCCCCAGCTGCTCCATCGCTCCATGTCATCATCTCTGCCTCCATCTCAGGCGTCACTGCTTCTCTGGGTAGGGTCCCGCTCTCCACTCTTCTTCCTTGATGGTCCCAGGGACCTCAGCTCCTAGACTGCAAAGTCAATCGCTCCCCTCCTTTTGCTACAAAACGTCTGCCTTTACATTTCCAACCCTCACAGTCAGTCCTGATAACAAGTATTCACTGTTGTACCACAAGAGACCTACCCACATCTCCTTTCATCAGCCCTGCCCAGACAGATTGGATACTACTCAGTGGAGAGTCTACCTTCCTCCGCGCTCTCTGGATCTAGGCTCCCTCTTGAAAGCTTGTAAGCCAGTCACTTCTTGCCTTTGAAGGCCCCTTCCCCCCCCATTTTGGGTAACCTTTGTCCATCCCCTGTCTACCCTGTGTATCGAGGGAGTGGGAATGATCCTCACTCTAAAGATTTGTCCCCTCTTTTGAGCCACTGCATTCATAGGTGTAGGTGAAGTTCATCAAATTGTATCAGATTACTCTTTTTTCTTCTTATAGTTGAGCTCTGATCAAAGAGATGTGTAGTTTTATACTTAAATGTTGTAGTTAAGTGCCATTAAGTTGGTTCTGATCCTTAGTGACCCTGTATAGCGTTTCTGAGGAGTGGCTGGTGATCTTGAACCACCTACTCTGCGGTCCAAACCTACCCTGCAGTCTAGCACATTAACCCACAGTGCCACATACATGATCCATTTTGAGTTAATTTTTGAAGTAGGTGTGAAACTAGGGTCAAAGTTCATTTATTTGGTCCTGCATGCCCAGTTGTTCAGTGCCATATGAACCCTTCACTGAATTGTTTTTGTACGTTGTCAAAATCAGCTGAGTGTATGTGTGTGGGACTGTTTCCAGGCTCTCTGCTCTGAATCATTGCCTCAGCAGTATCACAGTACCCGTGTTGATGACTGCAGCAACATAGTAAGTCCTGAAGTAAACTTTGCCTTTTCATATACATTTTGGATTGATCTTGTCAACATCTAAAAAAATTCTTGCTGGGATTTTGGTGGGAACTTTATCAGTTTGGGGGAAATTCACAGCTTTGCTCTGAACTTGGTATATCTCACCATTTATTGATTTTTCTTATTTTTGATTTTTAACAATTTTGTTTTCAGCATTTAAGTAAGTTACATATTTTTTTAGTTTTACATTGAAGTGTACTTTTTTTGGAGTAATTGTAAATGGTATTTTTAATTTCAATGTCTGTGTTCATAGCTGTCATACAGAAATTCATTAGGTTTCTATTTTGTTTACCTTGCCCAATTTTTATTCTAGGGTGGGAGGGCCAGATTTGTTAGAATTTTCCAAGCTTGTCATTTTCATGATAATACTGACCAACCCCAAGGAGTTTGATTTAATCGGTCCAGACAGCAGAGCTTTAGGAAGGTGATTATAATTGCTTATAGTTCAAATCTGCAGCTAAGGCAAAGAACCACCATTTTTCATCTGCCCATCAGTGAACAGGAGTCCTGGTGTGGCGCTGTGGGTTAATGGGCCAGACTACAAAGTGTTTGAACTGCAAGGTCAGTGGTTCAAGCTCACCACCTGCTCCTTGGAAACCCTATACAGGGTCGCTATGGGTTGGAACTGACTCGACGGCACTTCACAACAACAACAATCAGTGAACAAAGCAGCTAAAAAAAGCTGCACCGGAGCTCAGTTCCAGGAATCCAGCGTGTTACCAGCCCTGACTTGGTCCTGCCGTCGGGCTGGCATCACTCACAGACCTGGTGCACTATTGTGGAGGAAGACAAAACCCAGGCTAGCCCACCCTGCTGCCTAAGGTATTGACTTCTTCCACACACAGCAAACAACTAGGCTGTGAGGGATGCTTTTAATGAACAAAAAATATTGATGTGTACAAAAAGGTTTGCTTTTGCTGTTAACTTATGTGTCCCCCATTTCTAGCTGGGGAGTTGTCTTCTCTGTGGTCTGTGGACACCGTTGTCTCCCTGCAGCAGCAGCCTAGGGAGTGCCAGGGCCTCACTCACAGGGCAGACACGTCCGTGTGAAAAGTTGTGGCCCCTGATGGGAGCACTGTCAGTGTACTCACATAGTACCAATAGCCTTGGAAGACAGACCACTAGTGAACTACAAAGCTGGTGCAAAATGAATGAACCCCCACGTACTGGGTAACTCAGGACCGTGCAAGGGAGGCTCAACCGCATCTTTGAGTCCCTCCTTCAGCCTCAGTCGGGCAGAACTCGTTTTAAGATTCAGTTTCTGGCATTTAAGGATCCAGCCCAACCCAGCCAGCAGCACTGAAATCACCAGTACAGGGGTATACCAGCGAAACATGAGACAGAACAGTGACAGAAAGGAGCCTTTGGGAGCTTGTGGAAAGTGGTGTCCTAGATCCACACCACTTACTAGACAAGGGAAAGGAGTAGGGGTGTGCCTTGCTGCCGCCTCCTCCCCCTTGTGCCAAGTTCAGAGTCCTCAGTGTCCCCGCCTCTGAGTGGGATACAGCCATAGGGTTTAGGCACTAGCTAACACTCCTGTACATGGAGGCCCTCGGGCAAACTAGGATCACGGGCCACCACCCCAAGAATTGGGTGGGCCACAAGCAATGCCTAGCACACCCTCTTCACCCTTACAGGCATAGCCACCAGCCAGAGTGAGGCAGGCAGGCCTAACCCGTGCCTTTAGGTCTAGGCTCCAGTTTAGCACAGGGGTACCCTCAAGCTCCAGATCATTAGTCTCAGGGCATCTGAGCAACCGAGCTGGGACTGAACGTTGCTGTGGGGCCTCCTCAAGCCTGTTGAGCAGCCCCTTCCAGATTGCCAGAACCAAACTCCAGATTCCTTAAGACGAGAGTTGTCTAGAGCCACTCCAAACGCTACCAGGGTTGCTGCTAATAGGAATGGAGTTCCCTGGAAAAGCACTTTGCCCAAGGGCATCGAGAAGCTGCAGAAATGTGCAGTCCTTCTTCAGCTATCTCTGGTGTATCCTCATTAGGCCCCTGCCCTCTCCAAGGGCAGGGATTAGGCCTAGTAAGACAGAGGATGGGTTGGCATTGAAAAAGTTTTAACACCCTTGCTCTCGCAATCACAGAGTTGAGTAACTCCAAGCTTAGGACTCATTTCCTGCTCCATTCTTGGCCTGTCTTCTATTCACTATTCCTCATCTGGACCCAGTTTGTTTGCTGCTCACCCACAGTCCTCAACTTGACCCATTCCTAGCTCCTGCCCTAGCAGGGAATAAGTCATCCCATGCGCATACAACCTGGGAGGCCTGCTCTATCAACCTGCTGGACTCAGGCTGTTCCTCAGACCTGGCTGCCTCCGAGAGCTGAGGGAACAAAGCCCTGAGAGGGGCAGGATGGGTGGGCAAGAATCATCAAGCATGCAGATGCGTGAGTGGCATGAGGATAGGGGCAGAAGGGGATGGAATGGTGGCTGTAGATGATCCCCGCAGGTCTGCCGAGTTCAGCACCGTGTACGAGGATGCCCCACATGGGCCTGCAGTGCTTCCCGGATGCCCCGCTGCCAGTCTCGTGCCAGCTGCACTGGGGTCATTGATGCCTGGGAACAAGGGTGCTGGGTCAGTCCTTTATACCCGATCCCCTTTACACAGGGGGCCAGGGCCGGGGCCTCTGCCCTGCTTATACATACAGCATTCTGCATGCCCAGCTTGGCTCCATAGAGGAGGAGTATCTTCATGGCTCTGTAGTGACCGTGTCTCACAGCCTCGTGAAGCGCTGTGTCCCCTTCCTGCAGAGAAAGTCTCCTCAGCACTGGAGATGGCCTCCTCTAACCTGCTTCACCCTGCCCTTCCGGCTAGCCGCCCCTCATGAGGACCACAGAGGAAACTGCAGACAGCACCAACTCTGGCGTAGGCTCCCGCAATCACAGGCCCGTACAGGGAAGACCAAGTGCCTACCTTGTCCTGCGCATCAGTGTGGGCTCCACATGCAATGAGGTGCTCTAGGCAGTCACAGTGTCCTGTCCGCACAGCCACATGGAGGGGGGTGCTCCAGATCTGAGGACAGGTCAGAGAATCTGTTGGATGCAGAGTCCTGAGGCCTTACTCCAACTCTGCAAGGCTGGATTTTCTCTCTTCCAGAGTCACCGTCCACTCCCGCGTGCAATGCTCCCCTGCTTCTCCTAACAGACCACCCAAAGCAGTGTGCCCCTCACCTTGTCCTGGGCATTGACCTGGGCTCCCTGGTTAAGCAGCTGTTTGAGGATGTCCAGGTGTCCTCCACGGCAGGCCCAGAACATAGGCGTCCTGTCCAGCTGCAAAACAAAAGCACCATAGCACTCCAACTTGCTGGGATGCTAAGCAGTGGCTTGGCTCTGAAAATAGGTCTCTATGAGTTCTCACCAAGTCCCGAGCATCCACATTGGCACCGGCCTCCAACAGCTTGTTCACAAGCTGGCTGTGACCCTTCAGACAGGCCCAGTGCAGGGCCGTGCGGTGAAGCTGAGGATGAAGAATGGGCTCTAAATGGGGTGTGCAGCCACCCCCAAGCGGCCTCTTTGCTGAGCCTGTTCCCAGGACTTTCCCTCCCAGCTCAGGAGGCTCTGCCAAACTCACAGTCTCACGAAGTGGGCAAGTCCCGACATGTCCGAGGACCTGGCCAACAGCACCCAAAGCACAAGCACTGAGGGCTGTGGCGCCTCACTTCTTACCTTGTCATGGGCATTGGGGTCTCCTCCATCCATCAGGTACTTGTCAATCAAATCCTCCTGGTTCGCCACCGCCGCCTTCAGGAACATCTCCAGGTCCACAGGCTCCAGCTGGGCCTGGGCCTGGGCCTGGGGCTGCAGCTGGGAAAGTTGAAGGACAAAAACCAATCAATCCCCGAAACTATAGGCACCTGGGACATCACAAAGCCATCATTCTAAACCCATGTTCACCACTGACAGGTTCATTGTTGGTTTGTTAAAATATGGATTTTTTTTTTCTTAATCCCAATCCCAGGACTGAGTAGTGGGGGGCTGTGGAGTGGCCCTTAGGGCATGGGTGCGCAGCCAGGCTTGGGAGCAGCGCTGGAGTCCGCAGTGCCCACAGCCACAGCTCCATGCTCTTTCCAAGTCTCTGTGGGGAAGGAGAATTGTTCCTTGCTCACTCAGCCCCTGGGTACATGCACTTCCTGTCTGGCCCCAGGGGCTCACCTTCACCAAGGGCTCCAGTTCCCTGGGGGGGACTCTGCGTTTAAGTCGTTTTCTTCGTCTCTGAATCAAGTTTTCTAAGTCGGTCAAACTCTCCAGGTTAAGTCTGGAACTGTTGAATCTTTCAATCTGGAATAGAATTGGGTAGAAAACCATTGTAGTTGGGTAGGACCTGCTGGTTTTGAGATTATGACAGTCATTAGCCACTGGTCATGGGAGACTTGGGGCAGGATTCCCCCTGTCATCTCCTGCCCATAGGAGAAACTCAGCTATCAGCCCTTGGCCCAAATTCTCCAAGATCCTTCTACTCCGAGCTTGCCCACCTGGGGTCCAGCCACCCCTCCCCTACACCACTCTCACTTTCTTCTTCTTTTCTTCCTCCAATTTCTGCTTCTCCCGCGCCATGGCCTCTTGAGGTCCCAGCCTCCAGTCACCAGGCCAGCCTCCAGGTTCAGGAACTCCATGTCCAAATCCTAACACTTTCCTTTCAACTCTTTCACCACTTACCTATAGGAACAGGGGAAGGATAAGAAATCAGGAGAGCTGGAGGAGCCCTTAAAAAACATAGCTGTGCAACACCAAGGAGTTCTTTTGTACGAAGATTAGAGTTCTGGATTTGAGAGAGAGCTTCATGGAGACCAGAGAGTCGGCAGCTCTCTGCTACCTCTGGCTGTTGCTGGCTCCCTCGCTGAGGCTCCACCTACCCTGCTCCTGTCAGCAGGAATACTGGTTTAGAGGGCTATGACATCATATCTGTTTATACTGTTATGCTCAGGTTACCTAAGGGCAGATGACAGCTTCCTTTATAAGCTGCTGCCCTTAGATTCCTACCAGATCATGTCATACTGCCACCTGACACAAAGCTCAGAGGGACAGAATAGACACCCCCTGGAGGGGAAATCTGAATTTGGGAGTTCAGATCTCAGATCTTTGTGAAGCTATGTTTCCCCATCAACAATTTGGAATAAAAATAGCTGCTCTTGTAGGTATAAAGATTAAATGTATTAATGGAATTTATAAAGCCCACTGTAGAAAAACATTCTTTTCTTCCCTCAGTTCCTACCCCCAGGATCTCAGACTCTAGGGAGCACTGAGAAATAAACAGGTTAGAGAGAGAGAAAAGGTTAGAATGCTAAGATAACAGAGCCTAAGGCTGCCAGCCAATAATAGTGTTCTCTCTAAAGCACACGCTGATGGCCTAACATTTCTCAGCCTTGAAATCCTGTCTGCCGGCTGAGACTTTACCGGCTGGAGCCAGCTGATGCACTGGGCCCATGTTGGGGCTGCTGGGTGATATGGCATCCTGGATCTCATTACCCTCCCTTCTCCCCAAAATAGACAATCTCCCCCCAAACAGGCAAACCAAAGCAGTGTTGCAAGAGCATCCTCTGTCTCCTATCAGGCCAGCTAGACCTGCAGAACCTTTCCAGGGCAGTAACTACCACAGTGGTTGAACTCAATAAACAGCCCAGCTACACCAATGACTTCCAAGGAATCCTGTTATTCCTGGTCCCGCTTTAAAAATCATAGTCAAGGACCCAAACCAAAACCAAGGCCATAAAGCCGATTCCAACTCAGAACGACCCTATACGACAGAGCAGAACTGCCCCATAGGGTTACCAAGGCTGTAAATCTTCAAGGAAGCAGACTGCCTCATCTTTCTGCAGAGCGACTGGTAGGTTTGAACCACCAATATTTTGATTAGCAGCCCAATGCTCAACCTGCTGGGCCACCATGGCGCCTTCATCAAGGTCAGAACTCACTAAGCTCAAGGATTTTCTTATAAATCATCATCCCACTTCTTTCCCATTTGACATTAACCTAAGCTAACCTAACCTATAAGCCCCTAACCACCCCTCACCACCTCACACAAGAGCAGACATACAAGAAAACCAGATGGCTTCTTGCATGTAAAACCTGATCCTTGGACCTCTCCTCTAACTGGGCTGCATCATTCTGCTAAGACCCTTACCAGCTGCTGAATACTGATGAAGTCCATGGTCCCCCCCGCAGCTCTTCACACTTCCTTCTGAGAGTACTGAGCAGCTCAGTCTTTTTATAGGAGAGCTGTCTCCTAGGAGCAGGGGCAAGGGAAGGACAGGAGCTTGCACCAGGGCCAGATAACTCTGTGGCTCTGTAATATTAACCAAAATACCCATCTGGGAATGCAGCCCACTGAGGGCAGGAAAAGAAGCTGGTTTGCACGCTGAGTCAGTTGCATCTTCAGATACCCACCTTGAACCTCTATGAAACCCCCTCACCCCCCTGCTCCCACCACCACACACACACACAATCTCCTAAGGAGTAATTTGACTAAAAGAACACATATCCTACATTGCCTAGGACACTAACTTAAATTTAAGGAAAAATAATTCCCACTCTTAAGTTTAGACTGTCTGTTGCTGTTAGGTGCCATTGAGTTGGTTCTGACTCACAGCAAGCCTGTGCACAACAGAACAAAACACTGCCCTGCCCTGTGCCACCCTCACAATCCTTCCTGTTTGACTCCATGCAGCAGTCATGCCAACCCATCTCATTGAGGGGTCTTCCTCTTTTTGTTGACCCTCTTCTTTAGCAAGAATGATGTCCTTTTCCGGGGACTGGTCTCTTCTGAGAACATGTCCAAAGTTCATGAGAAGTCTTGTACTCCTCGCTTCTAAGGAGCCTTCTGGTTGTGCTTCTAAGACAGCTTTGTTCTCTTGGCATATTCAATGGTCTTCAACACCATAATGCAAAGACATCAGTTCTTTGGTTTCCTTGTTTTTACATTTTTCACCTGAATTGGAGGCTACTGGAAATACCATGGCTTGTATCAAGCACCTCAAAGTGACACCTTTGCTTTTTAATACTTAAAAGAGATCTTTTGCAGCATATTTACCCAGTGCTATGAACAGAACAAGGGAACATTGAATGGTTTAAAATTAAGAAAGGTGTGCAACAAGGTTGTATTCTTTCACCAT